AACCCAATTATGTCAACAATGATTAGGAAACAATATGGATAATGCTGGTGAGTAATCATGAGTGAATATTGCATAAGTCCCTGGAATGATCATCATTTCTTAAATTTCAAACAGGAGACAGGAGAGAACTTCTTAGTGATCACAGAAATATTGGCTCATAGGATCCTCCCCATTGCATGATGTTTTTGCAGTCAGAAAACATCCTCTGTGGAAAGGAAACTTGGGGTTGGGCAGGAGAGGAATATGCTGACCCAAGACCTTTAAATTAGTGGATAAAAAGAAGAAAGAAAGCATGACTGAAAAAATTGTTGGGAGAAAGCTTAGGTCTGTGCAGAAAGGAGCGCAATGGCACCGTTAGATGTATCTGAGTGATACCGAATGTTGAGGATGCATTTATCTTCAGTCCGACCATATCCACAGAGCACAAGGCAAGGGAAGCCAACTCATGTATCATGATACTCTTGTTCTATGCTCTATCACATTGTCTTTGAGGTCTAAAGAAGATTTTGGCTGGGCACAGTGGCTCATGCCTGTAATCCCAGCACTTTGAGAGGCTGAGGCAGGCTGATCATTTGAGGTCAGAAGTTCGAGACCAGCATGGCTAACGTGGCGAAACTCCATCTCTACTAAAAATACAAAAATTAGCTGCACATGGTGGTGCACCCCTGTAATCCCAGCCACTCGGGAGGCTGAGGCAGGAGAATCACTTGAACCCAGGAGTGGAGGTTGCAATAAGTGGAGACCATACCACAGCACTACAGCCTGGGTGACAGGGTGAGACTCCATTTCAAAAAAAAAAAAAAAAAAAAAAAAAAAATTCCACTGGTTCCAAACAGAAGCAGCACTTAATAGTTGCAGCCTACTTGGTAATGTTCACCAATATTTTCAGTTCTCCTTCCCTGGAACATATAGAGGTCTGTGTCTTCCTGCCCCTCCACTAGGTGGATGGCCGATGTGACAAGTTCTAGCCAACAGACTGGGAATAAATGATATGTGTCATTTCTGGGGAAAGTATATGAGCTGGGGCATTACCTTCCACCTTGTTTCCTACCATGGTGAACCAGGAAGGATTGTGTTGAGATGGAATTGCCCAAGATTGAAGCCTGCACTGGTGAGCCACCACATGGAGGACGAGTGTCCCCAAGAATGACCTGGACTTGTTCCGAAGCTGGAGTGAAGGTACTTAGAATTCCTGGGTCAGGATCATTTACAGGCAGCCAGAATTTTGCCCCCACCCCCATCAAGATGGCTTCCTCTTAGTAGGGATTCTGATATGAGGCTGAAATGGATTTAATATGAACAACAAGTAAACGATCGTGGTGTCAACACCTTGAGACTGTTTGGTGATGTTTACTACCCCAGCCTAACTTAGCCTATCTTAACTAATACCAGTGTGTGGATAAACACATGCTCACACTCCCAGAGAAACTCAAGAGGAGTGAAAAAAATGAGCCATTGGTTCTGGTTCCAATTCTATTATATCTCTCAATACAGACAAATTACATAAAGAATAGGAGTTCAGGCTGGGTGTGGTGGATCACACTTGTAACCACAACACTTTAGGAGGCTGAGGCGGGTGGATCATCTGAGGTCAGGAGTTTGAGACCAGCCTGGCCAACATGATGAAAGCTTGTCTCTACTAAAATACAAAATATTGGCTGGATGTGGTGGTGCACATCTATAATCCCAGCTACTCAGGAGGCTGAGGCACGAGATTCACTTGAACCCAGGAGGCAAAGGTTACAGTGACCCAAGATCATGCCACTAGACTCCAGCCGGTGACAGAGTGAGACTCCATCTCAAAAAAAAAAAAAAAAAAGAGAGAAAGAAAGAATAGGAGTTCAAGGGTGACTCCTCTTCTCTGCCTGTCCTCACCAGCCACTCAACTGGGGCACTTGTAACCTTGGCTCTTAGGGACCCCTGTGGTTGTCTCTCAGGTCACTGCTCATACTCAATCTCATTGACACTCAAATGTTCAATTGAGTATGAGCCACTCAGTGTCAGATCCTTACCTAGCCCCTGGTGTGCACTGTCAGCCATTCCGTTTTGCTCTGAGGATGGGGTGGAAGTACTTGCAATTCCTGTGTTAGCATCATGGGTCGGACAACCAGAATGACCCCTCTGTGAAGATGACTTCCTCTTAGCAGGAGTTCTAAGAGCTTAAGGCTAAAAAAATCTAGTATTCTGGATTGTCTACACTGTGTCTCCGGAGGAGGGGTTCATGTGAATGAGGAGAGGTAGTAAGAGAAGGAACAGCCCACCATTCCCACCACACTGAAAGGCAAGAAAATAAGTCTTATCTCTGCATCTCTGGCAGGCCCCTGTGGATGCCCAGTAAATGTCGGTAATGATGGCGCATGACTTCTCATTTATGCGGTCTCTTTCAGTTTCTGCCCTAGCTTGAATGCGGTGTCAAGGGAACTATTAATGGCTGCTATTCAGAGACATGTGACTTGATATTTATATATTACCTGCCCACTTCATAAAATGTTAATGAATGTTTGCAAAGCTCTCTGAAATCCTCTGGTGAAAGGTGCAACATTAAGTGAAAAATATTATTATTATTATTAGAAGGTAATAGACAGCCTTGAGTGATTGGTCATAAGAATAATTGACATAGCATTAAAAGAAGTGCCAGAAATCATTCAGACAGATTCAGCTCCTCCAGCCCCATCAGCCCCCACATTACATATATTACACTGTTTCCCTGACACCCATTCTAATAACCATATAATTCACACATTAAATCACCACTTCTAGGGAAAGGTTGAACTCACTCATAGCTCTACTGATAGTGACACTGAGAGGGTATTAAATGTTGAAAGGTCTAAAATGGAGCAGAAGTGCTCTTAGACGGAGAGGCCAGATCCAGCTGCTGAATGGCCGGCCACCACATTTAAGAGAGTGTGAGAGAGGAATGAGTCAGAAACACTTTGGAAACAGAGAGAAAACTTTAACATAGATGTGCGATTAGAAAGCCATGAAAACAATAAAAATCTAAAGTAAGATGGGCCAATATCTGGCAGTAGTCTTTATTTATTTATTAATTATTATTAATTTTTTTGAGATGGAGTCTCTGTCGCCTAGGCTGGAGTACAGTGGCTCGATTTCGGCTCACTGCAATCTCCGCCTCCTGGGTTCAAGTGATTCTCCTGCCTCAGCCTCCTGTGTAGCTGGGATTACAGGCACCTGCCACCATGCCCAGCTAATTTTTGTATTTTTAGTAGAGACAGGGTTTCACCATGTTGCCTAAGATGGTCTCGATCTCCTGAACTTGTGATCTGCCTGCCTTGGCGTCCCAAAGTGCTGGGATTACAGGTGTGAGCCACTACACCTGGCCAATGGTCCTTATTTTTATCATATACTCTCTCTGGTTTGAAAAATAGTGCTGCACAAACTGATTGTGGTTTTCTAACTCCTTTAATTTGGAGTTGTTTAGTATTTCTCAGTCTACTGCATAAAATTCAGTGTCCATCAGGGTTGGCAAATTGGGTTGAACTTATTTGCTAACTCTAGTAGGATGACAGTAGCTGCCCGAAGTTTAATGTTGAGAATTGTGGGGCTCATTTGGACTCAGAAGGACAGTGCCCATGCCACACAGTGGCTCTCAGAATGGCATCCAGGAGATCTGTGAACCTCTTTTGGATGCAAGGTAGCTTCTTGAAGTCTAATTAATTGTCATAAAGGAGTTCCTGTGTCAAATAATTTTGTTTCTAGAAATTCAGCATTTCTGATTTTCATTTGGCTTAGAAAAGTGGGATCACCTCAACACCGTTTTATCAGTGGAGAAAGGAAGAAGTGGGGCAGGTGGCTCTTTGGGATCATTTGCTGATTAAACCTTCACAATAATGGCAATTGCTAACATTTACTGAGCACTTGCTATGCATGAACCATTGTCCATTTTATAGACAAAGACACTGAGGCTTAGGAGAGATTACTTTCCCAAGGACACGCAAATAGAAAGTTAGGATTAGATCTGAAACCAAGCCAGTTGGACTGCAGCACCCACACCCTCACTGCCTGCTCTGCCCTCCTCCCGGGGTTGTGCGGATATGAATAATTGTTCCAGCAGATAAGGCCAAATCCTTTTGATCCCTCCTGGTGGTCTGTTTTAAACAGTCTTCATAGAGAACTAAAATAAAATATTTTGATTGTCCATTCTCTTCCTTTCAATTCACATGTGACCTTCAGATAATGTGACCACTCCAAATGTCACATTTACAGATTATTCAAAGGGTTTAAAATATTGGGTAACATTTCCTCTCTACTTTTATTTAATTTAGAAAAAAAACTCATAATGAGACAAAAGAAGAAATTGGTAACATTTAACATCAATAAACTTTTAATTGATGCCAGATGTCTCTTTTATTTAGACTAATATATAGAAGCAATAGTTATGTTAATTCTCTTCCTCCTTTAGGTAATATATGGTCGTTTAAACTACAAGAGTTCAGTATCCACTCTTATTAGCATCTTGGATTCTTTGTCAGTTGACTTTGTTGCCGCAGCAGGCAGCCTCTCACGTAACTCTGTGTTCTTGGGTTTTATTGCTTGAAATGCACTGAGCACTTTTATAGTTTTACTATGCATTTTCTTCAAGGCAAAACTGTTATGTTTATACTGAGATGCATTGTACCATGAAAAGTCAACTTGTTACTGAACCTGGGAATAGAATTACTAATGTTTCAGGATTCTAGTGAGGATTGTGGGATTAAATTTGGTGATTTAAAATTTGGGTTATGAAATGGTTGAAATTTGGTAGTGTAAAAAGTCACTGGTTTATTAAAAATGGATTTCTACTAGGACTTTCCTTGATTGGATCAATTCCATTAGAAAATCATTAGCTGTTTACATAAATAATTGCCAGCTGCTAGCAGGTAATGTGGAGATCTTAATCTTTTTTTTTTTTTTTAAGTGGAGCTTAAAATGTCTGTCTTGGTAAATTTTTCTCTTCTTTTCTCCCATTCACAATCCCTGCCCCATTTGCCTACTTTAGACAGACAGCAAGAAGAAACAAAACCAGAGGAGAAGAATGGAGCTGGATTGTCTGTGAAGACCTTGTGAGGCTGCAGAGAAGCTGCACTCGTAATGCAGAGAATGCAGCTGGTGGAGCACTTTGATTTAACTGTTGTTACTGAAATCTGTGTAGCATCAAGTGATTTAGAGCAGGGAGTTATCTTAGAATTCTGGAAAGATTCAAAGTGATTAGACAGTTGAAGAGTGAGGGTTCAAAGCTGGGACTACTCATTTCAGGCAAGGTTTGGGCAGTGACATAAATCCTTAGCAAGAGCTGTAATAGTCTCCTTGAAGATAGGAGCCAGATCTTAATCCTTTCTGCACCTACAGTGAACTGTATAGAACAATAGTAGGTGTTGCATGAATAGCTGTCAGATGATGGCTTTGTCTATCACAAAAGGATGCGCCTCTCTGTCCCCTTGTAACTCTGGTGCTCATGGATTAAATTGTTTGGTCCCTTTCAGTTCTTTCTGCATCCAGCTTATTGGATGCTCTCAGCTATGTAGCTGGAACTCTCCTTTTCCCACTCAGCAGTATCTTCCATAAAGACTTTTTGGCTAGATTCTAAAACTTGTCAGCCATTTTTATTACAAGAATGGTTCTTATTCTGTTAGTCAAGACTCATGCCTCTTCATTTTTAAGCCAGGCATGGTGGCTCATGCCTGTAATCCCAGCACTTTGGGAGGCTGAGGTGGGTGGATCACCTGAGGTCAGGAGATCAAGAGCAGCCTGGCCAAAATGGTGAAACCCCATCTCTACTAAAAATGCAAATATTAGCCAGGCATAGTGGTGGGCACCTGTAGTCCCAGCTACGTAGGAGCTTGAACCTGGGAGGTAGAGGTTGCAGTGAGCCAAGATTGGGCCATTTCACTCTAGCCTGGGCAACAACAGTGAAACTCCATCTCAAAAAAAAAAAAAAAAAAAAAAAGACTCATGCATCTTCATTTTTAAAATTCAATTTTGTGTGTGATTCAGATCTTGAGCCTACCCTTGTCTTCAGCACAGGCTAGTGCTATGTTCTAAATATTTGTGTCCTCCTGAAATTAATATGTTGAAACCCTAATCTCCAGTGCAATGGTATTAAGCGGCTAAGGGGTAGGGTTTTTAGGAGGAGTTCATTTGCCCCTTTCTCCATGTGAGGACACAGCTACAAGTGCCATTTATGAAGCAGAGAGTGAGCCCTCACTAGACACCAGATCTACTGACCTCTTGACCTTGGACTTCCCAGCCTCCAGAACTGTGAGCAATAAATTGCTAGTGTTTACAAATTACCCATTTGCTAGAGCACTCAAAAAGATTAAGACAGCTAGAGTTGTGTCTCTAATGACTTCAAGTGTGTGTGTGTCTGTGTCTGTGTATACACGTGCATGTGTGTAAGTGTGCATGATGTATGTAAGTGTGAGACTTTGTATGTAAGTATGTTTGCATGTGACTATGTATTTATGGTCAGGAGTTGGTCTGGTTTATAGACATCCCTCCATCTTCTAAGAACTAACTTCTCCAAGGAACTGGTGGAGGGGGAGGAAAAAGGCAAACATCTCTCTGCATAAGTTTGCATGCTCCGCTTGACTGCCTCTGTTGCTCTTTTTCTCAATGTGTATGTAGGAGTGATATGGATGATGCTCATTGTCATTTTCCACTAACCAGGGGCTCGTTTCCAAGTAGTTCCCCAAATGTTAGCAGGTCCTTTCATGATACAGCTGGGTCTTGCAACAAACCCCTGGCTGGTTCTGTTCCACCACATTTCTCTGATATATGCACCTTGTTGTCCTTCCTGCTGTGACAGTCCCCAATCTTTGCTATAATCTGGAGCTAACTCAGTGCAAGATCCATCCTCTATACCTTTCTCCTGGAATTCAAGGGAGGTGATCTTGGCTTCCTCTTCCCTGGCAGTGTCATGCCTGCCTCTCCTGCCCTGTCATGTCACATCTCCGTAATTCTCTTTTACATGGTCACATGCACTGGTGACAGATCGTCACGTCTTCTAGCTATGCAGTCATCTAACCAAGGAATGAAAGGTTGATCTCCTCTTCAGTCATTCCTGTCTTGACCAGTGAGTCTCTTGAGGCCTCTGATTGGATGAGTAAAAGGGAATAGCCTCAAACACTTCATTGCCCCTAGTGCCACATCCCCGCTTTATACTGACTGGGGGATTGCAAGGGAGGCAGTTAGTGATGGGCCAGTCCAGAGGTACTTCTGGAGTAAGCTCTGGAGTGAGACGACCAGCCCTAAATAATGGCAAACTTAGAATGTGATAGATTGAGTACCTTTGGACCTAAGCTTTGGGCCTTAGCTGCAATTGTAGGACAATAAGAAAAGTTCTGGTATATTTTTACACAGACTTTAGATGTGCATTCTAACTATTTGTAGCCAAACTACCCTTACCTAAAAAGAGCACAAAATAAGAAGCAAAAGGTAGATAAAGAATAAAATAAAACAAATACAAAATGAAAAGCAAAATATTAATATGTTGTTTAGTACAAATACCATAAACTTGGTTCCCTTTTAATGATAATAATAGCTTATTATGTGTCAAGTACTATTGTAAGTACTTGACATGATCTCTTTTAATCCTTGCAACAATACTATAAGTTCATTTATTTTATTTATTTAATTTTTTGAGACAGAGACTTTCTTTATCGCCCAGGCTGGAGTGTAGTGGAGCAATCTCAGCTCACTGCAACCTCTGCCTCCCCTGTTCCAGTGATTCTCCTGCCTCAGCCTCCTGAGTAGCTGGGACTACAGGGGCATGCCACTATGCCTGGCTAGTTTTTGTTTTTTTTTTTAAGTAGAGACGGAATTTTACTATATTGGCCAGGCTGGTCTTGGACTCCTGACCTGGCGATCCGCCCGCCTGAGCCTCCCAAAGTGTTGGGATTGCAGGTGTGAGCCACCACGCCCAGCTCGATAAGTTCATTTATTATTAGCATTATAAAGATGAGAAGATGGAGACACAAGAGATAACCTGCACTTGGATGCCAAAGAGTGCATCAGCAGCAAATATAGTAAAAAGATATTAAGCTGCTTTTCCTAATTAGCACTCTATGGGTGTGTGATGGTTAATTTTATGTGTCAACTTGACAAACATGGGATGCTCAAGTGTCTTGCTGGGCACTATTTCTGGGTGTGTCTGTGAGGAGTTTTGGAAAATAATAGCATCTGAATCAGACTTAGTGGAGTTTGTTGCCCTCTCCAATGTGGATGAACAATGTCCAATCTATTGAGGGCCTAAACAGAACAAAAGGCAGAAGGAAGGAGGATTTGTTTCATTCCTGCCTTCCTGCTTGAGCTGGGACCTTGGTCTTCTTCTGCCTTTAGACTGGGACTTATACCAACGGTTCCCCAGGTTCTCGGGTCTTTAGACTCAGACTGAAACTATCTTGTTAGTTTCCTGTGTCTCCAGCTTGTAGACAACAGATTATGGGATGTCTAGCCTCCATAATTATGTGAGTCAATTCTTCGTTAAAAATATGTATATGCATATATTCTATAGCTTATATAATATGTAAATGCATATATATATATATATATATATAATATAATATAATATGTATATAATTTTGGTTCTTTCCAAAGAACCTGACTATTACAGTGTGCCAATTTCCAAAACAGCTTTTAGGCCATTGTAGCAAAATCTAAAAATTTTAGTTGTTTAGCATTAAATCCTTCCAAAAGACAGTGTGGGTTAGTGGTTAAGAGCATAGATTCTGGAACTGGACTATATGAGAGTAAATCTTAGCTCATCTTCTACTAGCTGGGTGGCCATTGATAGCTAGTAGCTGGGGTCCCACCACCTCAGTTTCCAGTAATTGGTGTTAATATTTAGCCTAAAGTGTTGTTGGCAGAATTAAGAGAATTGGTATGTCTAGAGCTGCCTGTCAAAAGTAGCGTATGAGCCATAGATATAATTTAAAATTATCTAAAGTAGCCACCTTAAAAAAAAAAAGAGGGAAGAAGAAACAGGTAAAATGAATTATAATTGTTTTGCTTAACCCAATATAGGCCCAACTCATTTTATTGTGCTTCACAGATACTGTGTTTTTTTGCAAGTTGAGGGTTTACAGCAACTCTGTGTCAAGCAAGTCTGCTGGCACCCTTTTTCTAACAGCATGTACTCACTTAGCATCTCTGGGTCACATTTTGGTAATTTTCAAAATATTTCTAACCTTTTCATTATTATTGTATCTGTTATGGTGATCTGTGATCTTCGTTATTATTTTTGTAATTATTTTTGTTGTTGTTGTTTGAGACAGTATCACTCTGTCACCCAGGCTGGAGTGCAGTGTCACCATCTCAGCTCACTCCAACCTGCATCTCCCAGGTTCAAGCGAGTCTCCTGCCTCAGCCTCCTGAGTAGCTGGGATTACAGGCATGTGACACCACATCCTGCTAATTTTTGTATTTTTAGTAGAGATGAGGTTTCATCATGTTGGTCAGGCTGGTCTCGAACTCCTGACCTCAAGTGATCCACCAAAGTGCTAGGATTACAGGTGTGAGCCACTATACCTGGCAACTATTATAATTGTTTGTGAGCACCACAAACTGCACTTTCATAAGATGGGAAACTTAATTTATCGATTTTATGTGTGCTCTGACTGCTCTACCAACTGGCCATTCCTCCATCTCTCTGTGCTTTACCTTGGGCCTCTCTATTGCCTGAGATACAACATAATTGAAATTAGCCTAATTAATATCCTATAATGGCCCCTGAGTGTTTAAGTGAAAGGAAGAATTGCATGTCTCTTACTTTAAATCAAAATCTAGAAATAATTAGGCTTAGTGAGGAAGGCATGTCAAAAGCCAAGATAGGCCAAAAGTGAGGGCTCCTGTGCCGGTCAGTCCAGATGTTAATGCAAAGAAAAAGTAATTGAAAGTGTGCTCTAGTGAATACAAAATGATAACCAAGTCAAGCAGCCTTCTTGCTAATATGGAGAAAGTTTGCTTGGTCTGGATAGAAGATCAAACTAGTCACAACATTCCCTTAAGACAAAGCCTAATCCAGAACAAAATCCTAAGTCTTCAGTTAGGTGAGGGAGCTGCAGAAGAAAAGTTTTGTGCTAGTAGAGGTTGGTTTATGAGGTTTTAGAAAATAAGCTGTCTCTATATCATCAAAGTGCAGGGGAAGCAGCAAGTGCTCATGTAGAAGCTGCAGCAAGTTATCCAGAAGATCTAGCTAAAATCAATG